TATGTATGTATGTATGTATGTATGTATGTATGTATGTATGTATGTATGTATGTATGTATGTATAAAATACACTTTTGGCTCTCTATACCTTTGATATATTTTTGATTCACAAGTAAATACTAAGGATTGTAATAATGTTTTTGATGAGTGGAGTGGTCTACCAAATAACAGATTAGCTATTGCTTCCAGAAATATATAATAGGAATAACAGTACCATCTTTTTAAAATGTGGGAATAGTGTATGTAATGGGGTGCATGTGTCATAATTGAGGTAGTTTTAAGATGCAATAGTATATCAAACTGCCTGTGTCTTTCAATTGTGTTGAAAGATACAAAATAAGAAAGATCAGAAAAAGTGACTGGATACAGGCATCATCATAGGGTAGAGTTTGACTTGGCTGATGCTCTGAAAAGGAATGACTGTAAATAAATAAATGTACATGTATATTTCTTTCCTGTTTTGGTACCCATAGGATAGAGTGATCATGTATAAAGGTCATTTACTGAGGAGAATGCCAGTTTGCTACAGGAAAAGCTGGCTTGACAAAGAACAAATATTTATATAGGATGCAAATAATTCAGGTTTTCATTGCTTCAATTCAATTTAAGTGTGTCCGTATCTAATAATCTGAACCATACTTTTATCTCCTAATCAGCAATTTATGCTGATTGGGGAAATCCCAACATTTCATAACTGGAAAATTTCTATTTAAGGATTCATCTAAGGTGCAGCACGTAACCAGGGCAGCATCAGATGTCTACTGCAGAATAAATTGAATGGCATACGACAGACTAAATAGGCTAATGGGTGTTCACAATTCATGAACCTACGACATAGTCTAAATTGGTTTCTCAAGCACTTTAAGTAAGGTTAAAAACAAAGATAACATGATAGGGTTTTACATTTGTTTCTTTTTGCTTAAAAATTTATTGATAGAAAAACAAGGAGAGCTGGTTAGTTGTTTTTCCTATGATCAAATTTTAATTAGTTTTAGGTCAGTAGTGCAGAATATCTAGATCGATTGCATTATTCTCTGTTATCTCAACTTTCTTTTCCAAACCCATTGTAGATATATTATTCTAAGGGCAACAAGACCCAAATCCTTCCCAAAAGGAAAGATTATTTCTTATTTGGCCAAAATAAAAATGAGCTAGATTTGATAGACTAGAAGAACTACTTTGCTAACTTAAAAGTGTAACGAAATGCTCCCCAAGCATTTAACTTTATCAAATATATGCCATAGCCTTTTCAAATATAGATGATTTTTAATGTTTGCAGAGATCTTAAGTTGTTTTCTCACTGTTTTTTATTTTCTTTTTTATATTTTAAAAAAGTTAAATAAAAACAATAGGAAAAATAAAAGAAAAAAGGGAGAAGGCAATAAATAGATACATCTAAGTACGTACATAGCAGTATAATTGCTTTCATCCGTACTGTTGTTGGACTTCATGTAAATTCATATTAATGCTGCTCTTGCATAAACTTTATACTGACGTGAGAATTGAAGTGAGAAGTCAAAAGTGCTTTAATATAATAAAATATTATAATATAAAAATTAAGATGAAGACTATAAAAAAGGACAAGTGTTTTTAGAAGCATTCAAGCCATTCTTTCGTTCTCCCACCCCGACTGATTGCTACTTAAGTACTTTTATACTGTACTTTAAACTACTATGATTATTGTTCATGTCTGTTTGATTCATTTTAATTGTTTAAGGCAATTTCTCTTTTCCTTCAGAAACCATATTTAAGTGACTAAATTCGAGTTTCTGTATGATATGATGCATGCAAGGGAGCCATTTCTTCTTGAATTTAGTTAGCTTCTGTTCCAAATATGCAGATAGATTTTCCATTGCTGCATGTTCTCCAATTTTGACTTTCCAATCTTATATTGTCAATACAAGATCCCTGTAGGTTTTCTGAATTTGTAGTTTGAATATTTAATACTGAATTGTTTTATGGGAATTTTTGCCTGGCTAAAGACTGTAAGTGAGACTCTTCTTTGGGCAGACTTTCAAAAAGAGCTGTTAGATTTATCCCGTCAGGTTTGATGCTTGCCATCTTTAAATAAGAGCATCTAATTTTTGCCGAAACCACAGCAGAAAAGACCAGGAGAAAATGGAACTGCTGGTTTGGCCCAGCTTCATATTGAGAAGAAGTCTTAGCTATGCCTTACGGATGAAGGGAAAGTATATATGCTATTGTTTGAACCTTTTAAGACTGGGACAGTTTCCAGGAATACAGCGTTTGAAACAGTGGCAAGGATCCAAAGAGCTGCTTAATAGCCCCCCCCCCCTTGGGTATTCTGCGTGAGACCTCCTACTGCTTCTTTTTAATTGAATAGACCCCTGGGCCAT